TCAGAGTTTGGCAGCAGTTTGGATGTGGGGTTTGCTTTAGAGTGACCCATCATTTATTATTTGTTATACTGCCTAAAGAATCCTGACCCCCCCCCCATTATACTCAGGGCTCTACAGACATATAATAAATGTAATGAGTTTTTAAATCTGTTTCCATGGGTCTGTTTCTGTCTCTCACTCTTTAAAAAAAATCTTTTGACTTCAGACTTAATCCTGAGAGGTACAATAGGAGTTGAAGGTGCATAATGCTTTTCAAAATCATGCCCCTAAATCTCAATTTTGTTCAACGTGTGTGCCAAATCTCAGTACAGAGCTTGTCTCATGAACACCTCCTGTCCCATTCACAATTGTTGGGACCATCTCACCTCCCACATGTGATCACATAAGATTCCTGTGACAGCTACAGCAATTGCCTAAGTGGGAAAGTAAAAGGAATGATAGAATAACAATAATAATATTTAGCTCTTTTATACAGAGCTTCTTGTCAGTAGATCTCACAGCTCTTTACAAAGGAGTAAATGTTTCATCATTATATCTCTTACTCTGTATAAATCAGTATTTTAATTATTATTATTAGCAGTATTTTTAGCTTCTTTTAACACAATTTAGCAGCTGGAATCAAAGTAAAGAGCAGGCACCATGTGACCAGCTCAGCAAGTTTGAGGACCTCTGCCCTAAGCAATAATGATCAATGGGGACAGCATTTCCTGTCAGCGAATGAAAAGCTGGAAGAACTGAGGGTCTGAGATGAATCCTCAGGAGGCGTTCAGATATTGTAGAATAGAAAACCCATGGGGCCTTAATCTGCCACTTCCTTCAAATGGGTTTTATTATGACTTCAGCAGGCCCTACACTTATTACCTTTCCCCATCACTCTCTCAATATTTTGTAATATTTTCCCTTTGGTTTATTTGTTTGAATGGTACGTGGGTAGCTCTTCATTATAAATGTATTGTGATCATATTTGTATGGCGTTGCACAGTGGCCTGAGGGCCTTGGCTACGAGGTACCCTAATAAATTAAATGTTTATGTCCTGATCACTAATAGCCAGGAAATGCCTGACACATTTGTGGTTGTTAGGCAGGCCATTCGTCTGGTTTTAACAAGCTGGACAGTCCTGGTTTTGTCTCGTTTGTCCCCGTCCAGTGCTGATGTAAAATCAGACATGGTTTTGTCCTGCAGCATGCACGGAGGAGGCCATTTTGTAGAGTACCCTGCTCCACCTCTGCCAGTAGGATTTCACATGCATGCTTTGTGTGAGGTCACGCTGGCAGTGGTGGGGTCATGCAGATGGGGACAGGGACAATGATGGTCCACGTCCTGTATTCTGGGCATGCATCATAGGGTGACCATCTTTGCAGGATGGAAATAAGGGAAAACCACAAGGGAAAAATACTTTATTTTAAGGGACATTTTAGTGAAACACCATTTCCCTTAGCATATCATGTATTTTCTCTCAAGTGTGCATTTCTACTGTCCTCAAGTTTACAATGCAATTAAGTACCACTTTAAACATTAAATTAAAGTTTATCAGTTTTAATATGTTTCAATACATCTTAAATTAAGGGACAGGTGATCACCCTAAGGGACAAATCAATGAAATAAGGGATGGTCTCTGAAAATAAGGTACACATGGTCACCTTACCATTGATGTCACAAATCATGCAAATATAAACATTAAGAGAAGGGAAATAAAATAGCTGCTTTTTAAATGGTTGAAACTAGAGTTGAGCCCTTAAATCTAAACATCCTGTCAGCTACAATTTCAACAATGGTACTGAGTAAATTCCAGCTCCAAGTTTTTGTGACTGGCCTTTAGAGTACAGCCCCACCTCTAACCATCACACCTGAACTCATAATGCTATTGAGATGTGGCCCAATCAGCAACCACCACTCAGCCTGTCTCAATACATGAACAAACCTTTCTTGCCTTGGTCACTGTATCAGTTTCTCACTGCTAGGAAAAGACCAGTTCTTTGAAGAGAACCTCATAGTCATGTGAACAAGCAGCAAACAGGCCCTGTGATGTCTAATCAGGTAATTATTTCTCTCTCTCTCTCTCTCTCTCTTTTTTTTTTTTAAAAAGAACTTTATGTTTTCAGGGGTTACTGAAATACTGCAATACTGACAAGAGGGTCAAGCATCTTCTGTCTATTAAGACAATAGGTGTGGGCCCTCACCTATTCTGGCTGGTCACTAGTTTCTGGTAGTGCCCTCCCCATTGGTCATTACAGTATATGAAATACGTTTTAGTATATTTTTCTTTCCCTTTGACTTCCCATCACTAGATGAGCATGGTGCAGGCTGAGCAGCTATGCAGGGCTGTGCAGAGGAGGAGAGGCAGAAGGCAGCTGGCTGTCCTACCACTGGTAGGGACTCATGTCATTAGAGCCAGTGTGTGGGAGGAGACAATCAGGCTGTAAATGCTGGCTCTTCTGAAGCTGATGCCAGAAGGCTAACAGGGCACGGTGGTCACAGATGTAGATCTACAGGTGGGTATTACTATGCCTACTGCTTCTGCTATAGGACAATCACTTGGGTTGCAGACCCTACATAGCCCCAAAAATAGGGGTCCAAGCAACTGGTTGCTTTGTCTGTTGTTGAAGCCAGCCCTGGAAAGAGAAATCTGGGTTTAAACACTGGTGCTGAGAGTGAAGAAGGGAAAATGGGATCAGTGCGCTGGTGGCAATGTGGTGATGGGTGGAGCAGGAAGAGAAAGGTCTGGTGCTCCAGTGGGGTGGTGGAAGTGAGAGGACTCTGAAGGTAGCGGTGATGGGGTGCTATGGAGTGGGAGCTTGAATTTGGCAGCTGTATTGTGTGGGGAAGGAGGATAAAGGGCCAAAGTCGCCCTACAGGAAAAAAACCCCTCTCATTGGAGTTATGCTACCCTGTGAAGGGGAATTGATCCAGAAGGAATTTAGTGCAGAGATGAGAGAATCAAGGTATGGCAGTTGCTGGTGCTGGAATTATTAGGATTCAGCAGCCAATGGATGGAGTGTGTTGAGGGGCAGATGTTTGTTTGGCAGCCATGCTGTAGTAAATTATTGTGACTGGCATGCAAACTTCAGCCTGTTGGATAATCTTATTCATAAAAATAGGTAAAGTCTCCTTTCCCACCTTTACAGGAACGTTTGCTATAACTGGCTGGAGGGCAAACATTATTTGTGGGAGCCTGTCCAAATGCAATAACTCTGTAGTGAGCAATGCTTCTCCCCTCCACCCCCCCCATCACAGCCCCAACCCCATTGCACAAAAGGCTGATCTCTGCATTAGTCACATGGAGTAATGAGCATAAAGACATCTGCCCCTAGAACATGGTTCCAGCACTCGCCCTTCTGTGCTGAACATAAGGCCCTAGTTCACTTCAGCATTTAGAAGCTTCAAGAAAGTGTTACCCAATACCAGCCACTTTCACTGACCTGATTCCTGGGTCTAGAATATATGTACGCAATCAAATGTTTCTTTAACAAAATGGAAAATATTAATATATCTTGGGAGGAAATGGCCCTTTCAACCTGGGGTTACTGAACCTGTAACTTTATCGGGGACCATATCTGTCTCCAATAGAAAATTAAAGATTCTGAGGCCATCCTCTCGGCTGACTTGAAAAACTGACAGCAAGAAAATTTCAATTTTTGTTATAAACTATTAAAAATATATCCCCGTCTTAAATGTAAGCACTTTGAGCTTCTTTCTACTACCCCTTCCAGAGAGATGGCCTTTTGCTAAGATCACTTATATAAATTTAACATTCAGGTTCTGGTGACTTGCAGTGGGTATGGACTTAGTTAATGGGTGGGCATTTTCTATTTTCCTGTTGTTTGTTGAGTGCCAACAGTATGCTAATTTCTCTAACTGTGATCTCCAACTTCTATTACCTTATTAATGCATCAGTGATTGTATTCTTGTGGTACAAAGTGACACCTGCTGGCCAGTTAAAATAACATTGTGTTTGAATTCCTGGCATGAATGAAATGCAGGGTGATCTCTGCAGGTGGTGGGGAGACAGCTGGTGTGGGGTATCAGAACTCCTAACTGGCCTGCCCTTAGAACGTGGTGTACAATGGGTCCCAAAATAAGCAGTGTTCTCAACCTGCTTTTTACCATGGATGTGCCGGGATCTGCAAAGCAACTTTTTATACTAGATTTTCAAAATTATCATGAAAAATTACCAGCCCGGACACAATCTGCTTGCTGCCCTTTGCCCTGGGCATGGTGATGAGAATGAAATTATTCACTAGTTGAGGGTTGCACATTTTGTTGCCTCTGTCGGCTGAGCTTATTGCACATACCTGCGGTTACTTGCAGTATTCCTCACAAGCTCCCTGGGTGCTATCCTCCCACCCCTCTCAATTTCAGGGACTCCCTGCAACCCCCACTTCTTCCACAGGCTCTGTGTGCCCCCCACGTCCGCTCCCTCTCTGCCATGGGCTCTGTGTGCCCCCAGTTCCCGCTGCCTCCCCCGCTCCTCAGACTAGGCTCTCTCCCATTCTCCCCACCGCCTGCAGTTCTGTTTGCCCCCAATGCCAGGCGCTCAGGGCGCACCCGCATCACACCTCCCCCCCCACCGTTATTGTCTGTGTTTCTATCTCGGCCAACAATGGTGACAAGGCTGCTCGGGGCGCCCTGACCACCGAGGTCCAGCCCGGATAGGCCAACCCCGCCAGGCCGCGCTGCCCTGTGACGCCATGAGGGTCTGGGCCGGGGAGACGTCACCACACCGCACTGTGACGTAAGAGGCTTTGTGCCACCCACGCTGCAGGGGTGGGGCTCTTTAGCCTCTGCAGGCCTCGCAGCCGCCCCCAGGGCGCAGGCGCGAGAGCCAGCTGGGGGCAGCCGCGGGCGCGCGCCCCGCGCAGCCAGGTCAATGACCTCTGCAGCAGGCTCCGGCGCTGGTTTGAGGCGAAGCTATTGTACAAAAACTGCAGTACCCATCATGCCCCGGGACGGAAACCCCCTTTTCCGCAGGCGCTGAGCGGGAGCTTTGCATTCTGGGCGATGGAGTCCTGGAGCGCTTGGCCGGAGGTGGAAATAGAACGGCCACTTGCCGTGATACCTTGCGCCCGGAGCCAGCGACCCGGCGCCGCCTTCTGTGAGGCATGCTGGGAGCTGTAGTTTCCCCCCCAACCCCCCGCGAGGGAGTCTGACTCCCTGACTGGGGCCCCCCCGGTCTTCTCATTCGCGGCCGGGGGAGGGGGCGAGGAAGGGCTGCTCGCGGCGGCGGCGGGGGATGGGTCTGGGCAGCCTGCGCAGCGCGAGCACCGCTGCTGTGAGGCGATGGCGGCGCGGGGTCCCTTGGGCGCCGCCCCCGCGCCCCCGCAGGGGCCTGGGCGGGGTGGCCCCCGGGGTGAGTGAGGTAAGAGCCCCGCTGGGCGCGCGCTGGGGGTTGCAGCCTGCGGGGGCAGATAACGGAGCGGGGGGATACGGAGCGGGGGGATACGGATCGTGCTGGCTCTGTCTGGTTCGAGGGCAAGAGCTCGGCTGGCTTCGTTGTTTGGTGGGGCTCGGCCGGTGGGTGAGGCCAAGGGGGTGAGACCCCCCCCCCTCCCCCGGGATGGGGTGGGGGGTCCTAGTGGCCTGCGCAGGGAGTGGGACTCCTCGGCTGACTTCCTGACCGTGCCACACACACTCCCCATGTCTGTGCCTCGGCTTCTCTAGCTGTGTCACAGGGCCCTCCGAAACCTCCCCCGCTGGTGCAGGTTTGTGAAGTGCTTTACGGTGTGACCGGCTCCATACATACCGGTACAGTCTTTCCTACGAAGCCACCAGAAGCTCCAGTTATGGCAACGGGTAGGAGTAGAGCGCGAGATTTTTCTCTCCTGGTCCTGGGACAAGCAGAAATAGTTCATCGGTTTATTTGTATTTTTAAAATCGTCACAAAAGGCTCCTCTAATTGTTGACTAAAAAATACACTAGGTGAATATGTCCACAAAAACATAAGAATGGCCATACCAAAGGTCCATCTAGCTCAGCGTCCTGCCTTCTGACAGTGGCCAATGCCAGGTGCCCCAGAGGGAATGAACAGGTAATCATCAAGTCAGGGGTGGGCAGCCTTTCAGAAGTGGTGTGCCAAGTCTTCATTTATTCACTTTCATTTAAGGTTTCGCGTGCCAGTAATACATTTTAACATGTTTCAGAAGGTCTCTCTCTATAAGTCTGTATATTATGTAGCAAACTATTGTGGTATGTAAAGTAAACAAGGTTTTCAAAATGTTTAAGAAGCTTCATTTAAAATTAAATTAAAATGCTGATCTTACACCGCCAGCTGGCTCAGCCCGCTGCCAGCCTGGGGTTCTGTTCACCCAGGCCGGCAGTGGGCTAAGTGGGGCTGGTGGCCGGGACCCCAGGCCGGCAGTGGGCTGAGCGGCTCAGCCTGCTGCCACTCAGCCCGCTGCTGGTCTGGGGTTTCGTCTGCTGGCTCCTGCCAGCCAGGGTCCCGGCTGCCGGCCCTGCTCCACCCACTGCTGGTCTGGGATCCCGGCCCTGCCCACATAGAGTGGGTGCCTACATTCTTTCTCCCTGGTTCTAGCCCATTCTCTTCCTCTCTCTCTGCACTGAGCTGAGGGTGGGAGTGCACTGAGCACAGGGCTGGGGGTGAAGGAGCAGGCTGGGGGTTGCGGTGTAGGGTCTGGCCAGGAGCTAGAATGAGGGAGGGGGCTCAGGGTTGGGGCAGGAGGTTTGGGTGTGGAGTGCTTACCTGGGCAGCTCCCATTTGGTGCGAGGGGTGCAGGTAGGAATGGCGGTGGTGGTGCAGGAGCTCCCATTTGGTGCGAGGGGTGGGGGTGAGAATGTGAGGGGTGCAAGAGTCAGGGCATGGGGTGTGGGGGGACTGGGTATGCGTGTTGGGGGCCTGGAGTCAAGGCTGGGGTCAATGGAGGTACAGGGGTCAGGACAGAGGGCTGAGTGTGTGTGAGGGGGCTGCTGGGGTCAGGGCAGAGGGCTGGGGGTGTGTACTAGGGTTGTGGGGGTGCTCCCAGCACCCTGCCCAGAGTGGCTCATGGCAGGGGGCTGGAGGGGATATTCCCTGATTCCACCCATCTTCCCCAAGGCTCGGAGAGCTACGGCTCTGCCCCTCCTCACAAGGGTCATCAGCTGATCAGTGGCTGGGAGGGAGAGGAGGAGGGGCAGGAACCCAGCATGCTGGAGGAAGAGGTGGGGGAGGGGGGACCTTGCCTGCTGGACCAAGCTTCTTCACCCTGCCCCCGCTGGGGGTGGGGGTGGGGTGGAGAAGAGCTGGTCAGGGCGGGCAGGATTTTTAATGGCACGCTGCTGCCTGCTGGGGTTCCAGCCTGGTTCGGCAGTGGGCTGAGCGGGGCCGGCGGCTGGGACCCAGCAGGTAGCCGTGTGCCATTAAAAATCTGCTCGCTTGCCGTCTTTGGCATGTGTTCCATAGGTTGCCGATCCCTGCATCAAATGATCCATCCCGTTGCCCATTCCCAGCTTCTGGCAAACAGAGGCTAGGGACACCATCCCTGCCCAGCCTGGCTAATAGCCATTGATAGACCTATCCTCCATGAACTTTTCTACTTCTTTTTTGAACCCTGTTATGGTCTTGGCCTTCACAACATCTTCTGGCAAAGAGTTCCACAGGTTGACTGTGCATTTGTGTGAAGAAATGTTTCCTTTTGTTTGTTTGTCTCGTAGCTTGTGCCAGGAGGAGAGGGAGGCAGGTCACAAGTCATGGGGGGGCAGTGGCTCCTGTCCTGATCCTGTTTTGTAGAGCAGAATTCTAACAGGGATGCTGGAACGCGTTCACTCACTGTCTGCCCCTTAAGGAACATATAGATGTTAATGAAGGGCGCTCTTTAAAATGCCTCTCAGTGCTCTGCTGTGGTTGCTGGGCTGTTCTAATGCAATCTGATGGCTGCTTCTATGCAGCCCCTAGTGCAACCTGAACTGTGCACTAAATAGTGGATGGGCACTGGTGCCACTGTCATGTGTCATGCATTCAGACACATTAACAGCTGTGAACTGTCCATAGAACTGGGCTGAAGGTAACTGTAGCTCGCTCTGCTTTTATTTTCTCACCTTTCTGACCGAATCAATGCTCCATTGACAGAACTTATGCTGGATTGCAGGAAGCCCCAAATAGCCACCTACTTTGCATGTTCCTAAAGCTGGCTCTGGGCAAGATGCTCTGGGTGAGGGGCAGCCAGACTCCTGGGTAGTCAACTGGATATAGGGTAAACATGGCAGCTTGTTTTCTGAAGGAGCTTTTGATCTGGGACTGGCAAGTATAATGTAGTCATGCTTCTGGACCATCTCATCTCTATTTTCGTTGATTTCTGTAAAAGCAGAGCATGGTGCAATCCAAATCAGTTTGCATCACTCTGCCATAATAAGGAAAAGCTAGTGATGGGTTGGAACCACAGAGATGGGATCTATTCACTTAGCCCCTAATTGGGAGATATGGACCTGGTGGTGTTGGGGTGCAGACTCATTTCTGTTAATAACACATGCAACCCTTTATATAGGCTTCTCATCCACAGATCTCAAAGTGCTCACAAAGGTAAGTATCATTAGCCCTATTTGACAAATACAGAAGTTGAGGCACAGAGGTCAGATGATGGCCAGCCTCACACAGTAGATCAGTGGCAGAGTCAGGAATGAAGCCAGGTCTCCTGACTTCCAGAAACTGGACTACGTTGCCTCCCTTTAATTACATGTGTTGGCATTCTCTTTCTAAAGGGGGGAGAGGGGTAGCCTGTTCTGGCATGTGAGATTGGATGAGTGTTATTGCATGAGATAGGTTGGGAATAATACTCCTTCTTAGCCTTCATTTTTTTTTTTTCCACCATTGGATTTTTTAGGAGCAGCTGGTCACTTTATTTAAAAAAAGAACAAAAAAACCCAAACCTTTGTTCTTCCTTTCTCTCTCTTTTTTTTTTTTTTTCCCCCAGTGCTGTGGTAATTGCTATAAATTTGTTTATGTTGCAGAGTCCTCCGACCTTTGGGTTCCTGTTTGACATTGATGGAGTGCTTGTTCGGGGCCGCTATGTGATTCCTGCTGCCCAGAAGGCCTTCCGGAAACTGATAGGCTCTAATGGACAGCTCCGGGTGCCAGTAGTCTTCGTGACAAATGCTGGGAATTGCTTACAGCATGTCAAGGCCCAGGAACTCTCCGATGCTCTGGGCTTGGAGGTAACAAGAGAATCAACCTCCTCTGTCCTGGGGCATTGGGTGGAGGCCTTGGGTTTTAAATTGAAATTACACAGGTAAAAAGACGCTGAGTACATGTGCGGGAGATTCTTCATTTGGACAGCAGAAATCCTGTGTCCCCCTAGCAGGAGCTCAGTGAGAATTCATTGTCATCAGTCATTCACTTTATATAACGTTCTTCAGCACTATAGGATTGGAAAACCAAAGCTAAAGAAGAACCCAAGTTTAGTCAAAATTAGAAACTAAGCATTTAAATAGCAAGAGAGCCAGTTAGAGGCCCTGGGGAGATGAGTTCTTGTGCAATGTATAGCTGGTCACTTGAAACTAGTCTGAGATCACATTTCATACACACTGGCAAACAGCCATCAGCTGGGGACAGTGTGCTGACTAGTTGTCAAAAGACTTCGTGTCCCAACTTCACTTCCCTTAGCTGGCCAGTCACCTATCCCAGTGTCTGTAACTGAAAATATCATGTCTGAGCTGGAGGAAGGGGATATTATACTGCTACAAAACAAGTCCAAATGGTATGTAGCTGTACAGCTGACATCAGCACTGCCCTGCTGCCAGTTCTGTCCTTACCATTGAGCTAATTCATCCACATGTTTTTTAAATAGGAGTAGCAGGTAAGACCCAGTGGAGCAAGGTAGCCAGGCATACTCTCCAACTTAGAATTCTGGCGCAATCGAATCAGCCCATTGAGTCCAAAGATTTAAAGGTGTTCAATCCAGACTAGTTCTCAAAGCTGTGTTTTAATTCACCAGGCTCAGAAGGATAGTGGCTGAATATTTAGACTAAGCGCCTCTGGGCAGGCCCTATGTGTTCAGTCCCTACACTGCCAAGCACCCCAGTGTTTCTATCTAAATGATGATGGTCCCTAGTTCATTAGACATCTGGGTCTGGTAAGAAGGCCATCAAAAGATGGTGCTGGATTGGTTCTAGGCCAGGATATTCAGTGGGATGGAACATGTGGCGGCCTTGCTCTCAGAGGTCTAGCTCCACTTCAGAATCTGCTCCTAGTGCTATGGTGAATAGCATACAGTGGAGAAGAGAGTATTATCTGTATGCATGTTGGTTTGGGTGGTGGTTGTGGATGCAGAGTTCTTCTCTGTGTTGGCTTAACCAGCTGGAACTTGGCCTGGGGCTGTGGGTTTCCCTGATCATCCACCTCAGTGTGGGCTGGTGTTTTCATTTTTTTCCTACAAATGAAATGAGGGGAAAGTGGGTGACAGCTGAATGCTGTGTGGAGAATGGAAAGAGCTTCCATCCTGTTGACCCTGTGGTCTCTTCTTCTTCCTGCAGGTGTCTCCAGAACAAGTGATCCTCTCCCACAGCCCCCTGCGTCTCTTCCGTCAGTTCCATGAGAAGTGTATGCTGGTGTCTGGGCAGGGTCCGGTGGAGGAGAATGCCAGGAAGTATCCTTTGCAGTTCTGAGGCTGTGGACCCTGCTTGTCCCATCAGAGCTTCACAACTGTGCTGTGCTGGCCGTTCCTGGGGAGCAGTGATATCTGGATACGTACTGGGATACTCGTGTGGCCATCCTGCGGGAGGTAGGGGAGCGGAAAAAGGTCTTTTGATTTATTCTGAGCATCTTATGGGGAGGGGACACTTTGGACTATGTTGCAGTCTGTCTTCTGGATGCACCCTTGTGGTCTGTTTTGCTTCTTGCATTGACTGGGTTAGTTACAGCCCATGCTTCGTGCCTCCCTTTTACTGTGATTGGTGCAAGACTCCTAGCTTCTGTAATCTTTTATAATGCAGTCCATGCCAGGCAGCAGTCGGGCATATTATAGGCAAGTGCTGTGCAATCTTTTCTTATGCAATTTTGTCAGTGTACTCTTCTCCTCTCTCCCTGGCTCCCCCAACTCTGCTGATGCGTCTGATCTCTAACGCCCTGTGCTGCTCCAAATCTAGAACCCACTCACAAAAGCTTGGCCAAAATATATCTGTTCTATTCTGACCAATAGTTACCAGTGCTGTTTAACAGGTCAGAGAATTTCCCTGTGTTATGCAGGGTCATACTAGATGATGACAATGGTTGCTGGTCTTAAAATCTATGAATCTATTCCACCTCTGCTGTACCTATCTGGTTACCAGAGACTATTGATGGGTAAGCTTCTTTCATAGATCCCAAGGTTGGAATGGATCATTGTGATATAGCCCAGGGAAGGGCAAACTTTTTGGCCTGAAGACCACGTCAGGTTTCAGAAATTGTATGGCTGTGCCTCCCCAAAAAGCCAGGCATGGCCCAACCCTCCCTGTTCCCTGACTGCCCCATCCAACCCCTCCTCTCATTCCTGACTGCCTCCCCAGGACCCCTGCTTCATCCAACCACCCTTCTCCCTCCCCACCCCTGCCCCTGGGACCCCGACCCCCATTCAACCCGACCCCTATCCAAACTCCCCGCCCTTACCGCGCTGCCTGGAGCACGGTGGCTGGCAGCGCAACAGCCGCGCCACCCGGCTGGAACCAGCCACGCCACTGCACAGCATAGAGCACCGGGTCAGGCCAGGCTCTGCAGCTGCACTGCGCCAGGAGCTCACAGCCTCGCCGCCCAGAGCTTTGCGCCGGCAGCGCAGTGAGTTGAGGCTGTGAGGAAGGGGGAACAGCAGGGGAAGGGCCGGGGCGAGCCTCCTGGGCCAGGAACTCAGGGGCTGGGCAGGACAGTCCCGCGGGCTGGATGTGGCCTGCAGGCCGTAGTTTGCCCACCTCTGATCTAGCCTGACCTGTATAACATAGGCCATGGAACTTCCCCAAAATAATTCTTAGAACATTTTTTTTTTAAAGCAAAAGATCCAATCTTGATTTATAAATTGTCAGTGACGGAGACTCCTCCATGTGTTCTCTTGCACGAGTTTATCCACAGGCTTTTTCTTTTTAACCTTGAGACCTACTAGGCCACACTGCGTTGATGTAGGCACATGCTATTCCACTAAAGTCAGTGAATTTGCACCCACTTACCAGGTCTGAATCTGCAGCCCTCCTATTCTAGTGTTTCTGAGAGTCACTGTCCTGCTGTGCTTTGGAGACTTGAGACTTCCGAAGTTGCTGTGAATGGATTTATTCTGAATTGTCATCTCTGGTGCTGTGGGATGGTCTTCCAGTAATGTCCTGAATCAATATTGGACTTCAAGCAGACTCTGTAGGGGAAGGAAATCACCCAGCTCTTATAGGTTAATGGGATTTCCAACTTTGGGGTGAGCTGTTCAAAATCATCTACATGACTTCGGAGCAGAAGTCCTACTGAAAGTCACTGAGACTTGTGCTTCTGTTGTACCAATAAAATAAAAACCAGCAGGATCTTATTAAAGGGAAAAAGGCAAAATACCACATTTACTGTGAATACAGAAAGAATCATAGTAAGCAGTTAGTTATAGTTATAACATTCCATTCAATCTCAAATTTATTCACACACACACACACACACACACACACACACAGGTTCTGCAAGGTTGTTATCATAGTTACCAGCCTTAGAGTTGCTCATGCCAAGCCAGGTGGCCTGGACATGAGGAGGGAGCAGGGCCTTGTCAGATGCTCATCTGATGCTCCTGGAAGTTGGTTTGCAGAATCAGACCCCAAAGTTCTCACTTTTTAGAGTCTATTTTTATAGGAATTTCTTCCTATGCCAGTCTATGGGAATTGCTTCATCATGCTGTTGCTGAATCAATCAGCAGATAGCACATTCCTGACGGCTCCAAGATGTTATCTTGTTCTTTGGTTCTCCCATTCTTGAGGCTGTTGGGTGGATTCCAGTCTGCCCTCCGGGGGGTCCTCTGGATATTTCCACTTGACGCCTTCTTCAGCCGATGGACACTGGATTCTTAGGCTGGCACCTCCCTGATCATTCAGTTATTATCCACACCAAGCATCCATCCACATACATCCTCTATCTCTATTTTAATCACAATTGTTAATACAACAAAAGGGTGGGGAGTCTCTGGGTGCTGTTTCTGTTGTTAGAGTATTGCTTTGAGTCTCTCTCTCTGTGAATTGCTTTGAGAATAGACTCTGTCTTAGAATGTACTAACACAATTAGCAGCTTGCAAGTTTCACACATAGAGGGAGAGAAACAGTACCAAAAACCAAGAGACCTCTTAATTAGTAATACCCTGGAATTTAAACTCTGGGGAATCAAACTCATTTGTGATTTTAATACAGAACTTCTTTAATATGATCCAACACTTCTACATTCCTTTATGGGCTGATTTACAAAAGCACCTAATCTATAAAGAGCAGGCTCTATTTCCTCCTTAACTGTCTGAAATAGTATGGGGTTCCGGAATGTGGTTACCATACAGGATGTGAGGAAGGCATTTCCCCTGCTGGACATGGTTGATCAAAGCCGTAGACCAAAGGAGCTGGTAAATATCAACCTGTCTGTGAGACTGAGTGACCTGGGATTATAGCATTTGTATGTTATGGCCTTTGATAGAATAGCTGCGAGATCATCTATAACTAGCCCTATTTACGCCATTCATTAGAGTGACTCTTGCTGGGGGAGGTTGGGATTGTTACTGAGCTCCCTGGAGGTCTGCATTCTCACACAGCTCTCTGCAATGGCCTCTGCTGGAAGAGGCTAGAGCTGCAGTAGCTTTGACATACCCACTTCCCCACAGTATTTCTTCACTGTTCCCTAGTGTTTACAACCAAGATTCATTTTTTTCAAGAATGATTAGTGATTTTTTTCTTTTGGTGGGGTGGATGTGGGTGGCCAATTTAAGACTTCTTAAAGGGGCCCGACTTTCAGCAAGTATTGAGCACCCATCTGAAAAATCAGACCCTTGAAGGCTTCTAAATGTGGGTTTCCAAAATGAGTAGTCATTCCGGAAATTCTTGGCTCTCATCTTTACTAACACATTATGTCAATGCCAAATGTGTTTAGTTTTGTATTATTAACCCAGCCTTGCTTGTTTTTTCTGGCAGCCTCCTCTGACCACTGACTTCCCTACCATAGAAGGTAAGTGCTATGCTTTCTCCATGTGTGTACTATTATCCTGCTTGCTGTTCAGCCAAGTCAGCTGGATAGCCGTTTAGTGACAGGACACCTGACGGAATGACTGATTCAGATGCTGTAGTACACGCTGTTTATCTGTCCCCTTCCAGAAGAGGTATATTGTAGTGGACCGAGTGCTTTTTATTTTATTTTTTGAATGGGTGGCTGTTCTGAACTTCCATGTACAGTATCTCTTAAATGTTTCAGGGATAATTCTGTTTGGGGAGCCGGTCCGGTGGGAGACGAGCCTGCAGCTGATTATCGATGTCCTCTTGAGCAACGGGAACCCTGGGGCAGAGCTGGCAGCAGTGCCATATCCCCATATACCTATCCTTGCCTGCAACATGGATCTTTTGTGGATGGCAGAAGCCAAGATGCCAAGGTGAAAAACATATTTGTTAAGGTCACTTTTTGCCTAGTTTATTTAGCTACCCTGTTGATGATCTCTGCTTGAGACCTAATCTACATCATCTCTGTAATGTGGCTAGGAGACCTTTTAGTGGGGTTACAGTATATATTTGTTTCTCTAATGTTGTCTGAAAGGGTGGCACTATTTGGAGAGACCTCGAAGTTACATTGGGAACTTGGCCCAATTTTGAAAATATTGGTCCTTTTTAAATTTAGTTGCTTAAGTCCGAGTAGATACTCGGGTACTGCTAAACCCAACCAGCTTCATACTTAGCAAGGATGGCTTTCTGCATCAAGGACTATGATTACGGTGACTTCACAGTTCTGAAGGTCAACCCTTTTTGGGTTGTTGAGACAACAGAAAAATATGCACTTTTTATTTAAGTGCAAAAAGCCTCTTCTCTTCTTTCCTTTTTGCATAAACTGGGCCATCTGGTTGAATTCATTTCACATCTTTCCAAAAGATCCACCACCCTGGAGTCAAGCCTAAGCACCAGACATCTCATCCCAAATGGAAAATTTAATAATAATAATAATTAATAATAAAAGCAGAACTTGGCCCAGTATGCAACTTGGATACATGTCTGCAGCTGCTGGTGTCTCTAAGCCATTCATATGTCTGAGGGTAGATTTTTATTCCAATGTCTAGTAGTTAGTAAGATGGTCTCAAACAATGAGGAACACATGAGATAAGCATGAGAATCAACATGTCATGCACACTTTTTGGAGGGGCTTCTGTATGGGGGGGGGGATGGGTAGGTTCTCTGCAAGTTTAATATCCAAGTAAATTAAAAAGAATGGATGTTTCACAGGTGTAAGGTTAAGGGAATGGCAAGGTGGGGACTTCTGTTCTTCTGTCTTCAAGTTGTTTGCATGTAGGTATGGATCAGGGTTTCATCTCTCTTGGGAGATAATCATAGCCGTAAGATGGATAATGGCTTCTGTGCAAATGCCAAAGGGCCAGGGGGCACTGACACTTTTTTCTGGGGCAGATTTGGCCATGGCACCTTTCTTGTCTGCTTGGAGAACATCTACAAAAAAGTGACTGGCAGGGAGCTGAAGTATGAGGCCCTGATCGGCAAACCCAGCATTGTCACTTACCAATACGCAGAGTATCTGATCAAACAGCAGGTGGAAAGACGAGGGTGGCCATCTTCCATCTGCAGGCTCTATGCTGTTGGGTAAGATACCTCTTCCTGTGTGTTTCCTTAGGGGCCTTCAGCCCTATTTTTTGTGGCAGAGTTCTATGAGGAATTACTTAAAAAACAAACAAACAAAAAAACACCTCCTGAGGCATTTCTGGAGCTTCCTATTCTAAATGCTGATCTGAATTGCATTAGGACAAAGGGCCATTAATCCATGGCTCCCTGCATCTCCATAGACATGGAATAGTCAGCCTGCTTGAGTCACTGCTGCAGGATGTGATTGAGATACACTGATTTGAAATTCCAGAGGTATGCTATGTAATAGCATCAACCAGCCAGTAACTGCATTTTAAAGCCACTTCAGACAAGGCCCATCAAACATTCTTTGGGGGCGGAGGGGGGGAACAAGAAGGAATATCTTCCTCGTAACCAGCATTGTGCAAAGGGCCGGACTCAGGGCTGTTATCATGTTCCTCTCAAGCATCTGGCATTGGCTGCTGCTAGAGTTGGTGTGCTGGATTAGACAGGCCACTGATCTGACCTGCCCAATTCTATGTAAGTACCTGACTCTAGCTCATTCCTTGCCTCCCCCCACCCACCTTTATGCTGGACCAATCCCAGCCTGCCTATGCTCAAGTCAAACTTGTAAAATAACTGATTTTCCCTCATCTGATGGCCATGCACAGGGATAATCCAATGTCTGACATCTATGGTGCAAACTTCTACAACAGCTACATCAAAGCTGCGGGTCAGGCCCATGCCCAGGCTGAGGTGAAGAGGAGTGTGGGGATGGCGGATCCCCGGAGCGAGGGCCATTCAGAGCTGGGGAAGGATTTGTATGTCTCATTGGAGAGTTGCAAGTCAATTCTGGTCTGCACTGGGGTCTACAGTCATCACGGAGATGTGCCTACTGACCCACATGAGAGCGTGACGGAGACTGTGTTCCACGGGCACCGGGACTTCCACTTTGACCCTAGCCTAGTGGAAGCATCTTATGTGGTGGAGGATGTGAATGAAGCTGTGGAGCTAGTCTTTAAGAAGGAGAATTGGAGCCAGGAGTGAAATGGGAGTGGCAAAATTTAGTCATCAAGGTTCAGGAGGGGAGGGGAGGATTGGGATCTCCAAGCCTAACTTGCCCTAAAGTGGGGGAAAAAATTCCCAGTGCATTTTGGGGTCTGATGTTAAACGTCCCTTGTCTTAATATCAGTTGGTCAGTCTATTGTTGTTACTAGCAGGGTATCAATCTTAATCTGGCCAGGTCCATGTTTACACACTGCTGTTGCTCCTGTGCATTAAACTGTAATGGGGACAGGATGGTATAGATCATCCTTGTCACCTCTGCCCCCATGTTTTTGTGAAGCTCTGGTCAACTAGAGTCCTTTCCTCTTTCAAACCTCCTCAGTGCTTGAGAGGCTTATCCCTGTTACACAGGGTGGGGGGAGGTGGAGGGAAGCATCACAGACCCATGCATCAGTTCTGTCCTATACAAACCTTTAAGTAGGATGTAAGTGGAGCCTGGCCTCTGTACTGACCCTCTGCCTGGGGTGAAATTGATAATGAAGGGTTAATGTATCTTCCAAATGTGCTTTGATGCCCTGGCCTGCTAACTACCCCTGTTTGTCTGGGGATTGAGAGTGCACATAGCACCTGTGTTCTCACTGGCCTTGTGCTGGATCAGAAACTTTGCCTCTTGCATCCTCGCCTCTCTTTCGTGGCTCCCTAGCAACATAAGCTGTGGTAGTTTAGCTCATAGGAAAGCCTAGGCAGCCATAGCAACTTGGTGCAGTGCCAAAGGTGGAATTAAAATCATCTCGTAACTTAAACACGTTCTCTGATTGCCAACAGCCCTCTCCCACTTCCTAAGGGGGAGCACAAGGAGCCTTGCTCCAAAGATGCCTAGGAATTAACCTGGGATTATAAACTACCAGAGGCAAGGAAGCAGCATTTTGCAGCAGCACTAAGTTGTGAAGCCCTAATAGGGTCAGTGGGGATACCAAAATGGACCCTTGCACCATCTATAAGAGTGATAAAACCTCCCCTACTGTGCCCCCTCCCCCCTTGGCTCTGCTTCCAGGGAGGGTCCCTGGGAACTAGGTCAGTAGCTCAAGCCCACGCTGCATTGCTGGATGCTGTGATAGGCCACCCATTTACTTAGGTAGAGCTGTTAAATTGCCCTTTGGGAGAGGAACCATAAACATCAGCCAAAGCTAGGGCCTCTGGCCATTCCTAGTTTTGGTCTCTGGGCTTTTTAAATGCAGAACTTTTTTTCCTAGATGTAGTTTGCTCCTCATGGATGCCTGTAACCTCTAATTCTCTTTCCCTTTCCTTCCTCTCCCCAAATTGCAGAGAAGTGCTCTCCAAAGTTGTCACTGCTTCTCCTGGATTGGCTAGCAGCTTAATGCTGCTGCAGCAGTGCCTGACCCTGCTTTAACTTTGCTTCCAGTTTCTTAGCCCTTGTTATTAGGGGAGAGTTTGAGGCCTGTCTGTTCATTAAAAATCCTTAAGAATAACTGTGAAAATTTCTCAAGATGAAACTCAATATGAATACTTAGTCCTGCCATGAGTGCAGGGGCCTGGACTAGATGACATTCTAGTCCTATGATTTTATGGAAGATGTCAGCTCAGAAACAGGTTAATTGTAATCCTTGAAAAAATTCATGTGATCCACCCTGGCACCACCACAAATGATTCTTGATATCAAGTGGAGAGGCCTGACTGATGTCTCTAGTTTTTGTGCACTTCTGTTGATATCACTGGAGTTACTGACTCACACCACTAAATGAGATCAGCATTCAGGGCCAGTGTCTCTTTGCAAACATACCCATTTTAAGCAGCCACTGCTGCAGAGCATAAGCTGTGATCTTTTTATAAGTATATTTTGTTCTCAATTAAAATATTGGAGGTCAGGTTTGTTGATTTCCTATGAGCACCTTTTTTTCCATAGCTCCTCTTTGGTAACACTGGATTAGCCTAGTAGGATTGTACAGGGTACCAGGCTCCTTCCTTCTACCTGAAACACTAATTTAGGGGGCTGTAGTCTCTGAAGCAAGCTGTGTATTCTGTCAGTGACCCTACAAAGAGGTAGTGTGTGTGTCTCTTCTTCCCTACTCCCCTTGGTTACTGTGATACTTTGGGGTATAATACAGACCAGTGAGGAGCTGTGTCACCACTTGACTAGTAACTTGGGGTGCCTCACAATGCTTTGCTGCTGTAGCTTCCCACCTGAGGTCCTCACAGACAGCATGCAGGTCACACCCTGAGTGCCCATGTATAGCCACAGCCCTGGTCCAGCAGCTCTGACCCCAGCAGCCTGCCACCGACATCGGCTTCTACCAGCTTTAGTCACTACTTGTAGGGCGATCCCAACACACTCCCAGTCCTAGATTTCCCCCCAAAAACATGTTCTGCACTGTCCAGCCCTCTCCTGGACAGTCCAAATATTTTATGTCAGTTACCCCTTTAAGTGATCAACATCCAACAGTCTGCTACTTTCAATGAAGTTACCCAAACTATTCACAACACTGGATTAGTTTTAAAGAATAAAACAAGTTTACTTACAAAGAGATTGAGTACAAGTAATGAGGCATTAAAGTTAGAAACGGTTACAAGAAAAAATAAAGATACAATGTTTTCTAAACTTCACCTTGAACCAACTCTGGTTTGTTAAATCCTTTCAGTACACTCTCACCAAACTCAGGCCAGGATCTGGTCACAGAAATCCAATGGCTGTATCTTTTGTTGTCTTAGGTGATGAAAGAGATGGATGTGTTACCCAAAATCAGACCTAAAGCACTGCTGTAATGGCCCGTCTGTATCAGTAAATAGTCAGTTTTGTCTGGTTTAGTAGATAACAGGAGATAGCCCAGAAATCGCCAGGATTTTACCAGGGGGCTTCTACTCAACCTGTGAGGAACTCCCCAGAACAGTCAGTTAACCTTTGGGAGGACACAGATACAGCCTTCTGCTTGAAGGATTGACACTTAAGCAGTAATTCTTCCAAAACAAAAAATCTTTATTTTAATAACCCAATATTTCCTAATACAATAACTCTAAACACATAATGAAAACACAGCAGATCTAAAATATAGATCAAAGAAATAAACCACCCCCTTTAACAAAGGCATAAAATTCTATTAGCACAGATGCATATTGAAGTACCCAAAATTGAAATATCCTGCAAATGGAAAACACCTCTAAATGGTTATGTTCTATTTGTGATAGCCAAATGCTGACCATGAGTTCTTAAACATTAAAACTATACATATAACAATAAAACACATACACAATCATCCAGCTTTATTATTCTATACATATACCTTTATACATTACATAAATATGTCCTTATGTTTACTTCTTTAATGTTTCTTCATTTCAACTGGTCTTTCTGCTCTATCAAAATAGCATTAATATTAATTAAAGGTACTTTTCTGTTGCTTGCTTCTTAGTAATTTAGCTCTTTTAGTAGTCTTCCTTCTTTCCTGGTTCTAGCTACTCCAATACCATCTTCCCAGACACACACCAGTACCTTTTCTCTCACACAACAAGCTAAAGCCTGTCAGCTTAGCTCCCTGCCTTATATACATATTTTGACCTGTTCTGATTGGTTGTTTCTTTAATCCCTATCATTATCAGCCAATCAGCTTCAAGCTCTTTCTCTGTCAATTAGACTGGACCTGTGTGAAGACCTGTGTTCTGCCTAACCCCTCCTCTCAGGTTTTGGAGCGACCTTTGTATCACCTCAGCCTGCCTGTTTGCTATTAGTTGACCAGACCTCCATTTTGGATTTCTCTGACTGTGACTGCTTACAACACCATTTTGTTTTCCCTTGCTCTAACTGCTTAAAACCATCTTTATTAACCATTTACATTCTTATAACTATCAAACAAATTATATACTTATATGCACCTTAACATTATGTTTCACTGTCACCACTCCAGTTTACTAATTCAAACAAGACCAAATCTCAGTCGCTTCCAACTTCAGCTAATGGGTGACAGAAGTAGGATTGGGCTCCCAATATGTAGAAACCTTCACCTTGTAATAGTCAAGGAGCAGTTTGGGTCTGTTTCATCTGTTCAACACCCTCCCACTCCTTCCACCAAAAGAGACTGTTCTATTCAGCATCTATGTGCAAAGCCCATGGGTCCTCTGGCAGCTGGCTCCCATTGAGCAAAAGAAGTATTGCTTCAGAATGTTGGGCAATCCTGATGGTTGACTGGCTGAGGTAGTCACATGCTTTTAAGCATAAACTGACATCTTCTATCTGGCCTCCTTATTGAATGCTTAACCTAAGCATGAAGTTCATCTTTTCCCCCCTGGTAGTAGTGATCTAGGTTATGCTGTGGAAGCTGGTGGAAGTACTACTAGAAGTCACTACTGAAGCAATTAAATGACAGAAAACTGGATGCCTCAGAAGACTGACAATAATGGGATGCAGAATCTTTCAGCTCTAGCTGAATGGTTCAAATCAGCCTACGTCTGTGGTTCTCAAATTTTAACAACCCGCGAACCCCTTTCATGAAAATATCAACTCTCACGAAACCCCCTCCTAAAAATGAATATTTCCAGGGATTTTCTCCCTTACCTGAGCATAAATTATAGAAGCAGTGATCCTGGAAATAATTTGGGTTTTTCATGACAAGCTCATTACACACTGTTATTATTTATCATTACAGTATTAATTTTATTACATTATGAAAATGGCAACACTCTTCCAAGATTTCACTTTTGTTGCTCATATCACTTCAATTGAGCCTACATGTTTCATCAAGGAGTACCAGACATGAAACAGCATGAAGGTATTTAAGAAGACAACTCAAATAAAGAGTTCCTCCCACAAGCATTTGGGTCTTGAGCTGTCCAAGCAAACAACACACAACTACAATAAAGCTTAAACTTGTTCTGCTAGTAAGTCATGGTCACGGGGCTCCGGCTGCCGGCCCCCAAGCTCCGCAGGGCTCAGGCTGCCAGCGCCTGGGGTCCTCAGGAACAACTCTGTCCACCATTACAGAATTTTTTTCTGAGAACCCCCTGACACATGTTGTGAACCCCCAAGGGAACCACTGGTCTATATCGACAGTGACTGCAAGTGGTTAATTGCAGAAGCCTGTTCAATGGCCTTTATTAAATGAGTCTTGTCCTAGTGCACAAGAATATTATCACTAAAAACAACGTCTCTGCTGATAGTAAGCAACCTCCTGTGAGACCAGCAACAAAAAGAGCATGAACGTGAAGCCTGAACTTGTCTCTCATCCCTAGAAGCAGGCCTCCTGCGTCTGAGTTGAGGCACGTTGGCAAGGCAGTGGAGGAAACTTCCAGAAAGGGCAGCTGTAGTGCATCTGTTACATAGCTAAAGAGAGGACTTTAGTGTTATGCCCCTATCTTTCACAAGCAATACATTAATCTAATAAAACAAAGACTAGTAAGAGAAAAAAAAATTCCCGCTTGTTAACTAGAATGGATAAAATGAGATAGCTGGCCTTTTTAACTTTCATTTTTTTGCCTCGGCCTAGGCTCAATTCTAAAACATGCCAGGCCTGTTATGACCTGTTTTATTCATAAATAAGTGCACACACTAATTTAAAAAAAGTCTGGAGCATAATCATGGCATTTCACATTTTCATTAAAGGCCGTAATCATTTCAGTTTAACTTGGTAACAAATTGCTACATGTATGTACTGTCTATAGCAAAAATGACTGTACCCATGACTTTACTGTACAGAATGAGCACTTTGGTGACATATTTTCAGTGTTTGAAATAAATCAATTGAAATATCTCTGTATTTTATTACTGGCCTGGTGAAAATTGTTATACCTAAGCCTATAGGCTTCCATCCTGCACATTTGAATTGATCAGATAACTGCAGTGTCAAATGTGCATCACAGAATCATTGTTCAGTGTTCTCATCCCACGCTTGCTGCATTTTAAATGTGATTCCTCTAATTCAAACTCTCAGAATTCAGTGTAGCCTCTTCCATTTTTCCCTCCTCAAGCTCCCAATTTTTGAGAGCCCTTGAGAGACATAATTAGGATTTTAGTACCTCGTCTTTACTTTCTGCATGTTTTATCTCATTTCCCAGAAGTAAAACAGCTGGTTTATTTCCTCTTGAATTTTGCCAGAAACAACTGCCCCTTGCTAAAGCCAGGCCCTCCCACTAAAGAGGGATGGGAGAGAGGGAGAGGGCTTTTGGGGCCCTTTGCTTCCTACTTCCCACATAATTGTGAAGCCTGAACATGGTAATTTTTAGGCAGTTGCAATATCTAGTTTATTAAAACCTGCTTGCAGCTGTTGGCTTCCGTTGGGTTTGGTATCAGTTTTAATCAGACACCCTAGCCATAATTTGAAATTTGCTAAAAATGGAAGAGATAGGCATGGAGGTTATTTAAAATTTAGTCTATGTGCTTCATGCTACTGTTGCTTGCTGTTAAAGAACTGTTACCACCTCCATGTGCTGCACCAGGAATTTTGTGATATACTGGATCACCAGAGAAACAGTTAGCTTATTGTATTTCACCCTGCAGTGCTCAAGGATTAGACCACAGACGTATTTTGCTTTTTGAGATTGAGAATGTCATTTCTATTTTTCCCATGTATAAGCAGGGGATTTGTCCCACCATAGTAGAGGAATTTCTCTATGTACGCAGTACCCTGGATGAACTGAGTAACAAAAGGATCTGAGTCCCTGGCCCAATTCCCTTCACCCCAGTACCTGCACACCTTGACTTTCCCTCCTGGCCCCATGTGAACAGGACTCTGACCACATAGGGAGAACCGAGTCCAGGGGTTTCCTGGGCATTTACCTCAGTCCCTCTGTGGTCAAGGATGTGGACGACCCTAATCCAGGATACTTCTAACTCCCTTGTTACCTTTTCAACCTGCAATCACTGCAGTTCATTTGAACAAACATACAATTGATTTACAGTTACACCAAAAGTTTCTTTTGGGATTAAAGAGCATTTTGCAGCATCAGCACTGTGAGGAAATGGCCTGGGTAAGGGTCAGTGCAGCAATCTCGAAAGTGCAATAAACTTTACAGTAACAACAGCGTGCAGTGTCTTCTTCCTGGACCTGAACGTGCTGCTGTGACGGCAGTGCCCCAGGATGAGTTTGGGCTCAATGTGACAGACCCCATTCTCCACCGTCGGTTCTGGCCTCCGGTCAGGCCACATCCGACTCTGGCTCTGCACTTAATGCTTTCTGACAGATGCTGGCAAAGGAGCCTATCTCCTCCTCTCTCCCTACACCAGTGCACCAGACCCTCTGAAAGTGCTGGAGACTTACCCCAATGCTGCTCTGACCCCGGCTGTTGCACTCTCCCTGGCTCCTCTGGCTCTGGGCTGATGCACTTGCCCAGGCTGAGCTCTGGGCTGCTGCACCCATCTTGGCTCTACCTTGCCCTGCTAGGGAAGTCCCAGCTCACAGAAGGACAGGCCGTTGATTTCCTCATTGGCCTACCTGTAGTGTCAATCCTACTGACTAGGAGTGCTCCTTTCTCCCCATTGGCCCTGAATCGTCTTTGGCCCTGCCCTTTTCTGCTGGTATTGGGAGAGGACCAACCAAAACACCCCCTCAAAGTTTCAGTAAGGGGCCAACAGCCCCCTTGCACAAGGGATTTCACTAGGTCCCTTATTAGTACTACCTTTTTAGTCTTCCTGTTCGCTTACCCCCAGAATGGTAATTGGAGCGTTCCTCATCGTAGCCAAGTGTATGGGACAGATGCTCTGACCAATAGCAGACCACAAGTCCCAAAAGCTTTGGGAAACAAAACTCCAATCAAAAGGCAAAAACGATCCATCCACTGAAGGCAATACCTTCAGGGCAGCTAAATGAATATTAGCCAACGCATGGTACCCATAGCACAGCTAAGTGCATTGCTAAGAACATCCAGATGCCTTTGGTGCAGACATCAAGACAAAGCAATTACCTCAAGCAACACTAACGGTACATGGGGTAACCCTTCAATAAACTAGACTATTGCAAGGTGGGTGAGGACTGGTGGACTGAGCTTTTCAGAGTGGCAGCTGAATTCACAACCCATGCAACTGGTAGAACTAAAACACAGGTCTCACTGTTCAAAGTATAATAGCTAGCAACGTTAAAAGCAATAGAGATTTACTGGGTCAAAAGCTCTCACTTTTCAATAGGGCCCAGTAGCCATCTGAAGAATCATCATCAAGCCTGTCAGCGAAACAAAAGTCAGGGTGTCAGCCTGACAAAATTCATGCTTAGGTGGGTACACTTACCCTAATCTGAAGACAAAGCGCCAGTATATTAGAAAGCGGTGCTAACATTATATCTAAGTTGTTTGAAAACAATGCTGCCAAGAATAGTTATAGTTAGTGACAAAACCTTGGCTCCATCCCGTCTGATCTGCAGGTCTCCTGAACCAACAGTATCAGAGGGAATGTACAGAGGATCTCCTGATTCCAGTCAAAGTACGCCACTCTGTCATGTTTGCTCTCAGAACTGGAGGCAATTGTGAGACCCAGGTGAGATTTATGCCTCTTACAGCACACATAATGCCCAACTGAGTGCTAACTAAGACATTTGTGTCATTGTACAAAACTCTGTTCAAAGAATCTGCCTGGACATTGTTCGCTAGCCTTTTCAAGGTTTGTGGACTCTGTAGAATAAACTAAGTGAACAGCCCAAGTCCACTATCTGGAAATATTACTTTAGATTTAAGGGAGGTGAGAAGGGAATTCCATGATAAGCACGTGTTACTTTTGCCTTTTACATCTTGAATGACCAGAACCATAAGTAGCTCATGTAAAGTAATATCATAATCAGGCTTATGGTGGCCACAGACACAACCTGACTAAAAGTTATTACCCAGTTACACTGTTATGGAATCTGTTTATGGACCAAAGTTCAGCTGCAACATGAATACAGCTACATGCATGACTATGCTAACAGTTGAGGTACAGGAGGTCAGGATAGCAGGATTTGCCCTCTTTTAAGTTGCTGCTAATAGATGGATCCTTGTAACTAGTTGGCCTGATATAACAGAGTTTGTCCCATTAACATAAGTGATTGAGGCCAATGTCACCTTATAGGCAGTAATTTTTCACCGGCTGAGGAAAAGCACTACCAGTAATCCCAGCTACTGATGTCCTTATCTCAGTTGAGGATCCCAAACATCCCAGGACTGAAAACCACTTTTACTGGTGCTGGACACTTCAGGCAAGTGATATACTGGTCACTAATGCCAAAAACCTTGTCATAAATATAAAGGGAAGGAAGGGTAAACCCCTTTAAAATCCCTCCTGGCCAGAGGAAAAATCCTCTGACCTGTAAAGGGTTAAGAAGCTAAAGGTAACCTCGCTGGCACCTGACCAAAATGACCAATGAGGAGACAAGATACTTTCAAAAGCTGGGAGGAGGGAGAGAAACAAAGGGTCTGTGTCTGTCTGTATGCTGCTTTTGCCGGGGACAGAACAGGAATGGAGTCTTAGAACTTTTAGTAAGTAATCTAGCTAGGTATGTGTTAGATTATGATTTCTTTAAATGGTCTTTAAATGGTTCTGAGAAAAGAACTGTGCTGAATAGAATGACTATTCCTGTCTGTGTACCTTTTTTGTAACTTAAGGTTTTGCCTAGAGGGATTCTCTATGTTTTGAATCTAATTACCCTGTAAGGTATCTATCATCCTGATTTTACAGAGCTGATTCCTTTACTTCTATTAAGTCTTCTTGTAAGAAAACTGAATGCTTTTTCATTGTTCTCAGATCCAAGGGTTTGGGTCTGTGGTCACCTATGCAAATTGGTGAGGATTTTTACCAAACCTTCCCCAGGAAGTGGGGTGCAAGGGTTGGGAGGATTTTGGGGGGAAAGACGTGTCCAAACTACGTTTCCCAGTAAACCCACTTAAAGTTTGGTGGTGGCAGTGGAAATCCAGGGTCAAAGGATAAAATTAATTTGTACCTTGGGGAAGTTTTAACTTAAGCTGGTGAAAGTAAGCTTAGGAGGTTTTCATGCAGGTCCCCACATCTGTACCCTAGAGTTCAGAGTGGGGAAGGAACCTTGACATAGTGACAAAGTGGTGGGATTAACCTGAAATCATTTTGAGATCAATTTGAGATTTTTTGGAACCAGAAAAACAGATTTTTAAAAAAGAAATATTTTTTTTTCCTTTGGGGCTGCTTGAAAGGAGGTCCAACTGAAAGCAGCTAGTTTTTTTTCTGCTTTGGGGCCAGAGCAGGGACAAAAGGGGATTATCTTTGTGAATTGCAGGTTTTCTTTGCCTGGAGACAGGGTACTTAACCTCCTGCAGGGAAATTCACAGTCTTTGCAAACCAGAAGCTTTTTTTTTCCCCTAAAAGTAAATAGGGGGGTGTTTTACCCATTTGCCTGGAGACAAAAGTGGCAGGGGTTTGTGGTTTTTTTTTTTTAAGGATTTTGATTTTTTTTTTTTTTTTACAAGGAGCACAGGTGTGAAAAGGAATTTTTTCCCTTTGGGCTGCTGGTAAGCCAGTTTCCAAGTAGTTGGAGGTTTTTTGCTTTGATTTGGGGCCAAAGCAGAGACAAAGGGAATTGTCTTTTTCTGTAGGCTGACAATCACTATCAGAGAATAGGTATCCTATTCCAGCACAGCAAAATTTTACAGCCAAGTTTTGTTGGTTTATTTCTAAACCTCGGGTGTAAAGTTAGTTAAAAACAGAGCGGTTAGGATGACAGAATCCATGGCACAACAAAAGATGGAATTAGCCAGATTTCAGGCTGAAGAAAAACAAAAGGAACATGAAAGACAGATAGATTCATAGATAGATTCATAG